ATCAAGAGCTAATAATACCTAGAGTGTACAACGGGAAAACGGGAAAATAGTGCTATTTCACGACTACATTATTCTACTTTGCCTGCGAGTCTAGAATAATTTCATGGTATTGCATTCAGAATTCCTTGCTCTCTACAACAAGACCAACCGCCTGTCAATACGATACTCCTAGGCTGAGATATCGGCTCCTAAACCTCCCCTCCCACATGCCGCACGCGGCTTTGAATCCACATAAACCAGCACCTGGAACTCAGCACTCAGCCTAGGAGTATCGTATTGACAAGCGGTTGGTCTTGTTGTAGAGAGCAAGGAATTCTGCTTAATGCAATACCATGAAATTATTCTAGACTCGCAGGCAAAGTAGAATAATGTAGTCGTGAAATAGCACTATTTTCCCGTTTTCCCGTTGTACACTCTAGGTATTATTAGCTCTTGATCTATATTTATATCATGACGATTTTATGTTATGTGGAGAATACGAATGAACGTACATAAGAAAGTATATAAGACAAAATTCATATTAAAAATGTTCGTGTTGGATGGATCAGCGTCCAGTAGTAACGATCATAGGGTCTATGTCCCCCAGGGTACTGCCGGAACGTACCCTGGGTACGGTCCGTTATACCGGAATGTACCCTGGTAACTATCTGATATGGTTAGGGTTAGGGTGTAGGCGTAGGCGACTCCCTAGACTCGTTAGTGGAGTAGGCGAGGTACGGTCTGGCATATTAGATAGTATCAGGGTACGTTCCGGCAGTACCCTGGGGGACATAGACCCTCTCAGCAGTAGTAGCTGGTGACAGTCAACACTCACGGGCATGTAAGTTGTAACAAGCATTATAACGCATCAAAGAAATTAATGTGCAATGAAGTTAATTTGGAGAAGTTGCAGATTGGTGTAGTGTGAAAACAATAAGAAATCTGTGCCAGATATACAATGGCATGGCATTCTTTGGCAAGAATGGCTATAGAATTCCATGGCTATCTATGAATCTATCTATCTATGCTAAAATGACAAACGGGTGTTTTTACATTATTGTTCAAAAAAGGTTATACCATGCCCTTCCCCATCCTTCTCACCCTTTTCATTGTTCATCTTCTCATTGGTAAGACATGGCTTTCAATGCTGCTGTCATATAATCCACGGGCCACTAACCTTGAATCGTTGTCATGCGTCCTTAGCTGTAATAGTAGTGTGTAATTTCTGACAAGGTAGAGCCGGTTTTTCTTAGCCGTCTCGTAATGTCGGAACGGTGTCAGTGCCATCATTAGCATTCAGCAGGCAATTACCCTTGCGCTGTCTCGTTGTGCTTGTTCTCTGACAAATGCTCTGCACTAATGTATTGTTATTGTAAGAAATCGTTTGTTTGTTGTACGTTGTTGTAAAAGTGATAGTTTTATAAGACATTACATTACTAGATTTCTATTTCCATAAATTTTTTTATATGTACTGCATGCATGTATTTATACAATTACTGTCATTGTATTTATATTACCATGTGATTTTGGAATGTGTTTGTCCTCCTCCATTGACATTTACGTCAAGCCGATATTGTCTATTTTAGCAATTTGCGTCGATGGGACATTCCACAAGTATGTGTTCACGCAGGATGGGAGCTGCAATCGCGAAGCTTACGACGTTTACCTTGACATCGGAGACAATGAAGACTTCTGAAATGCGTATATTACACACCAGATGGCACTGAGATGTAACAAAGGCTTTCCTCGGCATGGTGACAATGCGTTATCAAACAGCGTCTGGATATACACTAGATAGCACTGAAGCTGCAAGACTTGCTATGATTACATCAGAGGTGATGAGGATTTATTTCTTAAATACCAGATTATGTATATCTTATACCGTATACTATGCCAGTTTTATATCATAAGTTGAAAGCACAATTTGAAGAAATTCTCCAATGCCTAGAGAGTTTATCATTACGTTATTATTCTGTAGTTGTGTGAGTATTATCTGCCACATGAATGAACGAAGTGAGTGTGTTTTTTATTGTGTAAATATGTATTAACAGTGTAATGTAATTATTCATATTAGCATTAGCATGTAAATACTTCAGTGTGATAATATTTATATTATTAAATCTATTGTAAATCTAAAAAAAACATTCATTTAATATGTATATATTCCTTAGCAATTAAACTGGTGCAAATTACGCATTAAAAAAGCTTTTGTACTTTTTATGACACCAGAAAAATCATTAGTAAAGAAATTCAAGAATTTACTATCAAAATATTTTCTTAAAAGTCTGTCAACAAATTACATAAATAATAAATAATATGCAGCTGTATGATTTATTAAAATAGCATTATTTATTAAAATAGCATTATCTGTACAAATAATTTAAATATAACTGCTGTTCACTTTACATCTGATAGAATTACAAAATGTATCAGATATACAAATCCATTGCTACTGAATTTTTTCAGGAATTTTTCAAATTTTGATTAACAGCAGCAAAACAGCATCCAGTTCCACAACCAATCAGATGAACACTATCGTGTTTGAAAGTGTCTATGACTGTCGGAATCAAAACGTCATCTTCTGTTCCAGATCCGCACATGCCATGTTCATTCCATCCCCACGTGTAAGCCTGTGTGATACCACCTTCTTCCTCTAAAATATATCAAAACAACTCTGTGACCTTAGGCACTGATTCATAATTGTTTGTCTCACCACTTGACAATGTGGAATGAAAAAGTGTTTAGAGAGAGAGAGAGAGAGAGTTTACTTGTAATTGTACAGTATGGATTATATCAGGAGTAAGATAATATAGGAGGAGTATGACAGTCCAAAATACGTGAAATTCAACATTTGCTTGCCTAATTTTACCGATGATATATTACGTGCAACTCGATAAAAATTACATCTAAATTAGCGTTGGACATCCACCTCTCACTCAAACTTTACTTAGTTTCCATACCTCTTCTTTTTATGGAGGTATAGCTTTGAACGTCACACATGGTTCATAGCTTTTGACTAGGCTTGTGGCTTAGCTTTCCTCGCCTTCCGAA